TTTATTTGTGTGTGAGTAAAATGTGCTCTCCCAATGAATTGAAAGCAGAACATCTTGAGAGCTTTTCTGTCCCCGTGGCCAAGGGCACGGGCTTTCCGAAGCCTTGTGTCTTAAACGCCCCCCCCTTTCCCCAACCGTACCCCCTGCCCTCTCCTGGGTCTCCCCTGGGTCCAGACCTGAGCAGCACTGCCCACATCTCCACCTTATCCCAGAGCCCCGTCTGGGACCCATGGCGTTGGCTGGGCTGAGGAGCCGGCCAAGCTTGCCTGCTACACCGTGCCCGTCCTTCAGCGGCGTAGGGCGACCAGCCTGAGGAGAGGGCCGTGTGAGAGGAGGCTTGGAGGCCGTTGCTCACTCTCTTTCATGACAGTGAAAAAGGAGAGAGGTTGGGAAGGATGTAGAGAGAGACGGACCGGTTGACCTCTCCTCTCCTCCACAGGCCAGCATCCTGGCCCCATCTCTGGTCCAGAGGACGAAGCCTCGTTTTCTGAAGGACCGTTGTGAGGGGACTTTTCTCTAGGTCAGAGGAAGGTTCATTCAGAGGACTCACCAACCACCCCCACCCCCTCTCTCCACCCTCTTCTTCTTCACACCGGGCCCCTGGCACTCGCTGCTGGCCTCTCACTCTTGGTTTTTGGTTTGGGAGACGACAGCCTAGGTTTTGAGGGTCGGGGACTCTGGTTTTAAATGGATCAGCCGCGTCTCTTCGCCACCCTCGTCGAGGTAGGCACAGGTTTTCAATCTGAGCTCAGCATCCATGGCGAGGACTCTCTTTCCCTCAGCTGCCTCTGTGCCCGAGTCGCGGCACCTGCTCCCTGTCCCCTGCACAAGGATTCTGGGAGCAGTCCCCTGCAGTCCCGGCGGCAGCGCCTCTACGGGGAGAAGGTGGTGGTGGTCTCCACGTCCCCGCTCATGGAGGAACGCCGGGTGTGCCGGCAGGAAGACCACTGCCGGAGCCGCTCCTGGCTGAGGCATCCCAAGTCCTTGAAGAGTTTGAAGAGGTCGCTGCGGAACTTGACGCCGATGAAGGCGTACAAGAAGGGGTTGACGCAGCAGCGGACGCAGGCCAGGCTGTAGGTGACGTCGTAAGCGATGTTGAGCTGCTTGCTGAGCTCGCAGCTGGTGACGTTGAAGTTGGCCACCGTCTGGGCCAGGATCACCCCGTTGTAGGGTAGCTGGAAGACGAGGAAGACCATGACCACGGAGATGATCACCTTGATGGCCTTGTTGCGCTCGAAGTTGCGAGCCTGGAGCAGGGTGCGGATAATGACAAGGTAGCAGAAGCTCATGGCCAGGAGGGGGATCAGGAAGCCTACCACCATCTGGGCCACCTGGATGGTGATCAAGGCCTCCACGTGCTCCGGGGTGAGCGAGCAGCGCAGGGTCTGCTCGCTGCTGCTCCTCTGGATGCCGCTGTACAGCAGCTCGGGGACGGAGAGGACCACAGCCAGCATCCAGATGGCCACACAGGAGAGCTTGCTGATGAGCAGGACGCGGGCTCGGTGGCGGTGGGCGGTGACAGCCCGCACGATGGCGACGTAGCGGTCGATGCTGATGCAAAGGAGGAGGAGCATGCCGCTGAAGAAGCTGATCTTGTACAGGCCGAAGATGAACTTGCAGAAGTGGATGCCGAAGTCCCAGGACTTGGCCGCGCTGTAGGCCCAGAAGGGCAGGGTCAGGAGGAAGAGGATATCCGCCATGGCCAGGTTCAGGAGATAGGTATCTGTCATGGTCTTGAGCCTCTTGAAATAGATGTAGGTCAACACCACCAGCCCGTTGCCCAGCAGGCCCACGAAGCAGATGACTGAGTACATGGTGGGGAGGAACCAGGCCTTGAAGTTCCGCACGTCCTTCTTGGAGCACAGCGACTCAAAGCCAGTGTAGTCCACCGTGGTGTTGTCGCCGATGTAGTCATCTGTGACCTCGTCTTGGCACAGGCACACCTGGGGGCAAGGGGAGCACACGACCCTCCTGAGCGGCTCTGGCTGTTAGCTGCCATCGAATTGGCCCAGTCCCCAGGGGGACACCACGCACCACAGAACGCAAGGTGACCCATCCCAGCGCCAGCCGCAGGTCCCCAGCTTAGCCAGGTGGGGGCGTCTAAGCCTTGGGGGCCTGGGATAGTCCAGAGCAGTGGTTTCAAAGCGTGCCCCCCACGGTCAGCAGCATTGAGTCACCTTGACACTGGGGATAGGCGCAGGTCCCTGGCTCTCACTTGAGACCGCGTGGGGTGGGGTGGTGGGGG